TTGGCCCAACATCATTGCACAAAAATCACATCTCGCCCCTCGATCAGGGGATCACAAGCCGTCAATGCACAGCTGATACTGAGCGCTCATGTGTGCATACGAACACGTGGAAGGAATTCAAAGAGTTACATTTCAAGCTGAATCAAGGATGCACGATAAGAATTCAAGAATGTGAGGTTTTTCCTAAAGGTTCTGCAGCCTCCCCAGGATAAGTACAGACGTCTCCGTACCGATCCGCGAGACTCTACTAAACATGCTCATGACTCGTGAGACCTATGTAACCTAGGCTATGATACCAACTTAGTACGACCCTAAAACCGACCCGGTCGTGATGGCGCCTATCGTGAAACTAGGCCAGCCGACACAACTCCCAAATTAACCATTTAATCAATAACAATCATTTTTAAGCCCTTAATTAATCAAATAACTCAATATGTAAGTCTAACTGAATAGTGCGGAATAAATGCACAAGCCCGACATCGGGGTGTCACTAGTCATGAGCATCTACTACAACTGCCTAACAACATAAAGACCAACATGGCCGGGAAAATCACAAGAATACATAAGGAAGAATAAGGAAGGAGAAAAGCAAGGCTGCGATCGTCAGGCAGCTACCTTGCTAACTCCGATGAACTTGCCACCGAGCTCAAAATTACCTGAAACTGCACACAAGGTGCATGGAGTAATGTGAGTACGCCAACTCAGTAAGTAATAAAGGTATATAAAGTCTGAGCATTAAGAAATCACATAAACCACGTCATAGCACCACAGTGGGTAAAGCATGTCTCTAAAACAGGATACAAATCAAATCATCTCGTTTAAAACTCCGATTTAAGTAAAAATCCTTTGTAAAATGTCTTTCTAACAGTTCAGTAAAGGTTCAGCGTAGTTCATAGTGAAAGTGATAAAAATCATAGTCGGCCTCTCGGGCAAAACGTAGTTCGTATACAGCCCCTCGGGCAAAACATAAAGCATATACATCTCAAAACAGGAAAAGTGCCAGAGGGAATAACAAAGCCAAAACAGTGATAAATTCCGAACATTTCGTAAAAACTCCAGTTTCAATGAAAATTTGTTCAAAATATTTGTTTAACATTTTCTATAGAGGTTCAGTATAAAGATGAGTGAAATTGCTAATTTAATTCAACATATTCAGTATAGACTCACTTTAAGGAGGAGTGAAAAACAGTAACTTCATAAACAGGCCCCTCAGGCAAAACATCTCTCGTATATTTATGTGTGTGTGTATATATATATATATATATATATATATATATATATATATATAGCCACTCAGTCCCTCCTGACTCAGCTCTCATCNGATTTATTCTAAAAATCTAGATGAGCATGTGGAACACTTAAAACAAGTTTTTGACGTTCTCAGAAAGCAACACTTGTTTGCTAATCTTGAAAAGTGTACTTTTTGTGTGGATCGTGTGGTCTTCTTGGGTTTTGTGGTTAGTTCTAAGGGAGTTGAAGTTGATGAAGAAAAAATCAAGGCAATCAAATAGTGGCCTAAACCTAACAGTGTAACCGAAGTTAGGAGTTTTCACGGGCTTGCTAGTTTTTATAGGAGATTCGTTAGAGACTTTCGTACCATTGCTGCTCCTTTAACTGAAGTTGTTAAGAAAGATAAGGGTTTTTCATGGGGAAAAGAACAAGATAATGCTTTTAAACTTGTTGAAAGAAAAATTGTGCTCTGCTCCTCTTTTGCAATTACCCGATTTTTCTAAATCTTTTGAGGTTGAATGTGATGCCTCTGGAAAAGGAATAGGTAGCTGTTTTGATGCAAGACTCGAAGCTCATTGCATACTTTAGTGAAAAGCTGAGTGGAACTCAACTGAACTACTCAACTTATGAACAAAGAGCTATATGCTTTGGTAAGGGCTTTAGCTACATGGCAACATTTATTTGTGGCCAAGAGGGTTTTGTGGTTAAAGACTGATCATGAATCCTTGAGA